CCACAAGGTGGAGGTACACAGGGTTCAAAAGTAGCTGGCAAAATTTGTCTAAAATATACATTTAGCAGCATTTTTGCCAGTTGTTCTGGGAGGTGGGAATTTCCCACTTACAAGTCGTAAATTTAAACTGGAATGCCCATCAGTGGGAATTTTCTGTGTGAATGTGGGACAGTTCAAAATTCAAGATGGCAGCTACTCAACAGTGAGTAAAAACTCTCTTACTTTTTCTTTTAACAGTAGTTCTGTATTATTTATTTCACATTTAGTCAGTTGTACACATTGTACTTTTCAGTTTAAAAAAAGGACATTTAAAAGCTGTTTCTATGCATAAAACACCACGTAGAGTTCAGTTATAGTTCGTCGGCGGTGCTCAGCCGTAACAAAGAGACGAGGGACTGTTTAGTCAAAGTAAAACAAAAAACACCAACATGTTTTACAACTGGTGCTTTGAGGGGCCACTGTAAAAAATGAGTTTGACTCTCTGGCTTTTAACCTAACAGGTAGTTTACAAACAGTCTGATACTCACTGCAGCGTTCAGCGCTTGGTCCAAGTCTTCAATGATGTCAGCTTCGTCCTCCAGTCCAACCGAAAGACGGATCAGCGTRTCACTGATCCCCAGAGTGGCCCTCTCATTTTCTGGCACTGAGGCGTGGGTCATGATGGCTCTGGATTAAAATAAAAGACTTGTGTATATATRAAAAACATCACAAGGCCTGGAAGTTGAGTCTGAGAGCAAATTATGTTTTGACCTCTGCTGCCCTCTTGTGGTATGTCCAAGTTATAGCATAATGGGAATAATAAAATCTTTAGRGATACTTACGGATGTTCTGCTAAACTTTCATAGCCGCCAAGACTTTCTGCTACAGCAAACATCTAAAACGAGACAAAGAACAAGTGAAATATGATGAAATAATGAAAAAACTGCGTGGAGCTGATTTATTAGTTTGTTTTCTTTCATGTGGCTTTTTAATTTTGGATATCCAGTCCAGTTAATTACCAGATATTAAAAAAAGCATCAGATTTCAGTAAAAATAAGGAAGAAGATTTTTAAGACAAATAAAATAAATTACTTTAAGGCTGCTGAGGAAGGTGTTGGCATGCTCCAGTTTGCCCTTGATGTAGAAGGTGATCATCCCCGGACAGCCGGTGCATTGTCTCTTCATTAACTCGTACTGAGGGTGGGAGGGCAGGCCTACATGGAGAGGAGAAACACGACACATAAAACTAAAACAGACAGCTGCAGGTGATCATTAGACAACAAGAGAGAGAGAGAGACGATGCTTATTTGGGGGATAAGGGACGTCTGAGTCAAATTTTACAACATGAAGCACTCCAAGAACTGTTACACACCTTGCCTATAGAGTTATAAAAACAGGACATTTACAGACTAACAGGACACACTTTAAACAAGTGCAGCTGCAACACCGACAACAACCAAAACACAAATCTATGGAGTAACACCATCACAAAGGCTCGTTTTAATTGATATGTGAGAGCCAGCAGTTGTGAATAATTATCAAACTTATAGCAGGCTGTAAGGAGAGAAAGGTCAGAGTCATGCTGTTTCCTGGCATCAACATCAGAGTGAATTAAAGCGACAAGCGCCGATTATTTAATTGCACGGTTAAAGGTTAACAGGATTATATGTGAGAAGATGAAAAGGTCTTTTGTTTCGACGAGGCGGCTCTTTAATGCGATGATAAGAGAGCAACAAAAACGTGAGTTTACCCGGGAAGAGGACACGCTCCACTCGAGGATCTGCCTCTAGGAACTTAGCTGCAGCCATGGCATTCTTAAAGTGCTGCTCCATGCGCAAACGTAGCGTCTTCAGGCCGCGGTTACACAAGTAGCAATCAAAGGGAGAGGGTACAGCTCCGAGGGCTGAAGAGAAAAATAAATAGAGGTTATAATCAACAGAAACCTGAAGAATCCCCTCCAACTGAAAAGGTTTATTTTGGTTAAAGGGATCTCTGACTACTTTGCATGTATATTCCTTAATATATCATTTCTCTATTCTACTAATAGTTGTCTGACACGTGAAAACATCTGCTTACTTAAATTGTATACATTTTTTCTTTGAACCACGTTGCCTTTTTATTRCTGAAGCAATGCATTCTGGGGATGATGATAGGTTACAGTTGATACTAAAACACAAACGTCTAGGCTAAAAARCTTCAATGTGTGACCAAGTTATGAATTAGTTTATATGCTATGCWCAATAAATGGGCTGAAAAATGGGTTTGCAGTAACATGATTTTCAGCATTGGTTCTGGAGCTAAACGCCATATTTATTAGGTCCAGAGCTAATGTACTTTAAATATTAGCTCAGGAGCTAACGTCCTATACTGTACATACTGTATTAGCTCAGAAGCTAATGCCTTACTTTTTAGCTCTGAAGCTAATGCCTTACTTTTTAGCTCTGAAGCTAATGCCTTACTTTTTAGCTCTGAAGCTAATGCCTTACTTTTTAGCTCTGAAGCTAATGCCTTA